CCTTACGAGGAAAATATTACCACGCCTTTACGAGGAAAGCTTTCCTCGTAAATTCGCTACAACCTTACGAGGAAAATGTCTTTACGATGAACGTGTTTCGAGGAAACGCGTTTCCTCGTAAGTTCCTAGTAAAAGGCCATTTACTAGGAACTAACGAGGAAAACCCGTCCTAGTAATGGACGAGTTTTCTTGTAGTGTCATACTCCATAGGTAACCAATTAGTTATGCCTCATACCCAATACATACATATAATATTCTATTTTCATTTTCTTTGTTTTCGTTTAATATGTTTAACGGACATAACGACATAAAGAAAAGACATTTGTTAACCAATTAGTCCATAGTTAACCAATTAGTTAACTTATGTTTTAACAGACACTAGATTTTGAGGGTGTAGTTCTCTTGTCAACATGCTCATGTAGTTCATTTAAAAAATTGTCTTTTAAAAAAAAATATTTTGCGGGTTGGTGGATATCCGCAGTTTAAATTTGACTGATCCACACTCATTCCGCATAAAATATACTAAATCCGCACTCTCCTCACATATTTTCAAAATATATTTATTTTTACCCGTCCTGCAGTGAGTCAAACAGGACGGAGTCCATGTGTAAAGAGTCAAATTCACAATCTTAATATAAATAATCATATAAATTATATTTTAAAATTTTAATGTGAAATATAAAAACTACAATATAAATTGGTGTTTGAAATTGGGCTTTGTATTATATTTTTTTTATATATATTCAAAACATTTTTTATAATCGCTATTGGAAAATATTTTAGTAAAAATCAATTTATATATATATATATATATATATATATATATATATATTAGAATCAAAATTTTCTATAAATTAGTTTTAAAATTGTTCTTTTGATTTGAAATATGTATATAAAGTTTAAATTTTGTATTATGATTGTTTTAAACAAAAAATATTTTAGGTAATTAGATTAATTCATTTACATATATTGTAAAGCTGGCGCAAATAGATAATACTTTATTATGAGAATTTCAATTTTTCTTAATAACTAAGCCCATTTTGTTTTTAAAAGTCCATTTTGTTTTTAATATATTGTAATCCGTGTTGCAAAACAACAATATATTTCTTTTATTAAATGTTATACTTGTTACCAAACAATTCTCAAAAGTACTTCAACTTTAATAATATAGATATGTAAGTGTTAACATATGTTTTAGTCCATAATTAACCAATTAGTTATGCCTCATACCCAATACATAGATTACATATAATATTCTATTTTCATTTTCTTTGTTTCCGTTTAATATAATTTAACGGAGATAACGAAATAAAGAAAAGACATTGTTGTCGATTTTAGAAATGCGCTCGACACTTTTCAGTGATATTGTTAAAAAAATTGTACACATGTTTCATTCTTAGATATTATAAAATCCATTTAAAAGCTAAATAAATCGCGTGGACCTGTAACTATTGTTGAATTTCCTGAAGAAGACTTAAACCATAAGGAGATCTGTTTTTTTTTTCGTCACAGCTCACAGATATTTTCTTTTTCCCCTCTTCCCTTTTTCAACTAACATTATTAAAACTTGCAAGCTTTCTTTTAAGCAAAAAAATATATATATTTCAAGCTTTTTATTGAATGCCTTGAAATATGAGCATCTTGTAAAGTAAAAACGACAAACATTCTAAAAAGATTAATGATTTCATTCAGTTAGCAATTATTTTGGGATATATGGGAAAGAAATTACCGGAAAATTATGGCGAGGATGAAGGTAAATGCAGGATTAACATTACTCATGGCCGAAGATAAAGTAGGTGAGCTGTATTTAATCCCATTGTAGCCAGCGATTTGTGCTGCACTTCTGTTTTTTTCTCCAAAAAAGAAAAAAAAACGAACACAAAAATAAAAGTAAGAATGCATCTCTACACTAAAAAGTAAAGGAAAAAATCTTAGAGAATACAATCGAAGAAGTATAGAAATGATGCAAACAAGGTCTTCTAGTTCTTTTAATAAGAACTTAACTAGTTATAAAACTTCATGTCAAGATAAAATATTGCACTAATTAAGTAGATCATATAAATCATGCATACAGTTATCATCTCTGGCTAAATGATACTGTATGGTTACCAAATAAAAGAACTTACACAATGAGACCAAGAAGTCCCATTTTGTAAAGAACTGAAGAAGTCAACGGAGGAAGAGATCTTGATCTGCAGAGATGATAAAGCTATATAAGAGAAAGTTCTTATCACGATTTTGGGAACAGAGTCAAAGGAAGAAAACCTGAAGGAGAAGAAGGCAAGAGGAAGGAGAAGAAGAGATCCAAAAGCGTAGGAGTAGACAAGCACCACAAATGGGCTTAGTCCTTTGGAAGTTACCGATTTGACCAAAGTGTTTACTCCGACGTTAGAAAACTCCGTTAACACCATTGCCGTCAAGATAAAGCCATCTCTGTTACACATTCTTCCCTCAGCCATCTTCAGTTATTGAATTCTTTTGTTTTCTTTTCTTGCTTGCTTCCTTTATATCTGAAGACCTTCTCTCTCTCTCGAATTTGATATTTAGAAAAAGTATATTAATTGACCATAAAGAAAAAGAGTATATATTTTACGTTGCGGTCGTGATGCCAAAAGACAGGTGAAACTCATCTCCATCACATAATTAAACCTCAGGGAGTTAGGGAAATAAAGGCGGCCTGGCCCATCTTCAAATGCGTACAAAATCAGTGAATCCAAGAAACTAAATATGTATTCTTGTTTACCTTTTTCAAACATAATTAAGTAACTAGTTGGTTTCTGAAGGTATGCCGTAAATAAAACCCAAGGAGAATGATTTTGTTTTTGGTTTGTCTTTTTTTTTTTGTAACACCAATTTTCATTGCAACGAAATTAAGCTCCATTGTTCGTAGGAGTCATTACAGAGGATTCATTCAACATAGCTTGCTTTGCCAAAGCATCAGCAGCTCCATTTTTTCCCCGACGGATCCAAGAAAAAGAAATAGCATCAAAAGCTAGAGATAAACAAAGAACTGAATTCTACGTAAAGTGAAGTCTCTGTCGCGACCAGAGGTTTCACTCTCCCTTTTCCTTCTTCACCAAGTACCAGTTTAGACTTTGTAGTAAACCACTTCAAATAAACCGAACTTAACTAGTTTCAATTCAAACCACAAATCAGCTTCAAACTGAAACCTCTTTGAAATTGAATCACATAAGTTTGAGCTTCAACATTCTCCACCTTGATTCAAGTTTCATCTCTTTCTCAATATACTATACATACTTAGGACTTAACTTCCGGCAGTAATGACTCTTCATCTCAATTGATCAGTTTTATAATCCCTAAAGCTGCAACAAATTTAATCACAGGGACAGTCTTGGTTAGCATATCTGCTGGATTTTGGGAAGTGTGTATCTTACTCACCTCAACCACTCCATCTTCAATGTTGTCTCTGATAAAATGATACTTTGTTACTACATGTTTTGTCCTCTCATGGAACGTGTTGGTCTTGGACAAACATATAGCAAATTGTGAATCACACCAGACCGTTACTTTCTCTTCTTTGAACCCCATACCACTGATCAACCTCTTTATCCAAATTGCTTCTTTCACAGCTTCAAATGACGCGGTGTATTCAGCCTCAGTAGTTGATAGTGCAACAACAGGCTGAAGACATGATCTCCAACTCACAGCATTACCACCCACCGTAAATACATACCCACTTGTTGATCTATTCTTGTCCAAATCTCCAGCAAAGTCTGAATCACTGTATCCTTACACTCTGAACTCTTTACTCTTCGTAAATGTCAAGTTCAAATTAGAAGAACGTTTAACATATCTGAGTAACCCTTTTACTGCCTCCCAATGTATCTCTCTAGGCTTGCTCATGAACCTACTGATCAACCCAATAGCATAAGCCAAATCTAGTCTTGTTCCCACCATTGCATACATGAGACTCCCCACTGCACTTGAATATGGAAACTTTTCTGTGTCAATACATTCAGAGACATCCTTCTCTGCCGATAGCTTAAAGTGTCTTCCAATTGGTGTGTTTATTGTCTTTGCCTCGTGCATGTTAAACCTCCGAACCACCTTGGACATGTAATTCAACTGAGACAGGTAAAAAACACCTTCTTCTCTGTCTCGCTTGATGTCAATCCCTAAGATCTGACTTGCAACACCAATATCCTTCATTTCAAACTCTGAACTCAGCATTGCTTTGAGCTTAACAATCTCTGCCATTTCCTTTGTAGCTAGAAGCATATCATCCACATACAATAGCAGATACACCCAGCCACTTTCAACTCTCTTCAGATAAACACACGAATCACGCTCACTCCTTAAAAAGTTTTGCTTCTTCATGAACAAATGAAATCTCTTGTTCCACAATCTAGATGACTGTTTCAAACCATACAAATATTTCTTCAATAAACATACCTGATCCTTTCCTTGATTTACCTCAAATCCCTTAGGTTGTTCCATATACAGCTCTTGCTCTAGAGTTCCATGTAGAAATGTAGTTTTTACATCCATCTGTTCAAACTCCATATCTTGATTAACAACTACAGACATCAAAATCCTTATGGAGACATGTTTAAGAACAGGTGAAAAGACTTCTTGATAGTATATGCCCCCTCTCTGTGTACATCCACGAGCAACCATTCTTGATTTATACCTCTCAGGTTCAACTCTGGGAATACCAGGCTTCTTCTTGTACAACCACCTGCAACCAATAACCTTCTTTCCCTTTGGCCTATCAACAACATCTCAAGTCAAATTCTTAGCTAGAGAATCCATTTATTCACCCATTGATCCATTCCACCTTGACCACTTCTTTGAAATTTTAGCCTCATGATAGCATTGCGGTTCTTCAGTTTCCGCATCTTCTGATGTAAGAAGTGCAAATGCTACCATACTGTAATCGGTGAATCTAGCTGGTGGTGTAGTAACTTGTCTAACTCTATCTCTGGCTAATTGGTAACCTGCAAGTTCATCTTCATCAGCATTCTGATCCTTTGTTGCATCAATGAACTCATCATCAGATTCACCAGACTTCTCTACATCAGCTCCACCTTCAACAAAATTCTCTGCATTTGTCTGTTGTTGTTCAACCTTGTTTTCTGGTCTAACAGCAACACGAATCTCAACTCTGTTTGAACCACTTGACTCTTCTGTCTCATGGCTTCTTTTCTTGTTCTCTTCCTCAGACTTCAGATCTTTATACATCCTCTCTTCCTGAAACACGACATTTCTCCTGATCACACTTTTATGTGCTTCCAATAACCACAGTTTATAGACTTTTGTCCCTAAAAGATATCCCAATAAACCCACTTTCAATGCTATTGTTTTAGCTTCCTTTGATCGTGATGTACAAAGCGAACTGAACCAAACTTTCTCATATGCTTTTATCCTGGTTTTCTGTTCAACCACAACTCTTCTGGTACATTGTGATCTATTGCAGAGCTTGTAGAACAGTTGATCACATAGGCTGCTGTAGTAGATGCTTCTACCCAAACTCTTCTCCAAGACCTGATTCATTCATCATACATCTCACCTTTTCCATTTGTACGGTTCATCCTCTCGGCAACACCGTTTCGTTGTGGTGTGTAGGTTCAGGTTCGATGTCTCTCTATGCCATGTGTCTTGCAATAGTCATCAAACTTCACATTATAGAACTCCAATCCATTGTTGGTTCTCAGGACCTTCACCTTCTTGTTCATCTGATTCTCAACAAGGCTTTTCCACTCACAGAACTTGTCAAATGTCTCATCTTTAGTCTTCAAGAATATCAACCACACCTTCATTCTCTTATCATCAATAATGGACAAGAAATATTGTTTTCCAGACAGTGATGGTGTCGTGTTCAGAGACCCCCACATATCAGCATTTAAATAACCAAGAACATCTTCAGTGATGTCTGCCAACATTAAAACTCAGCTTCTTCGATTTCCCCATTACACAATGTTCACAGAACTTGAGCTCCTTAACCTCACTACTGCTGATCAGCCCTTTACCAGTCAGGTCTTCATATTGTTGATGCTCATGTGTCCAAGCCTGCTATGCTCATGTGTCCAACTTGTTTACTCAGCATTATAGGTTTCTGACACAACAGTTTCTCCATCCAGAATTTACAGACCATTCATCAGGTTGCCTCGTAGTGCTGTCTTGTAATGCTTGAAATATCTGACTTTACTGTCTCTTACTTCATGCCCAAAACCAAGCTTATCCAAGGTACCAGTGGAGATAATATTTCTTCTCAATTCAGGCACATATCTGACATTGTTCAGCACCTTGATCGTACCTCCATGTGTGTCGAATCTGATTGACCCTTGTCCCTGTAATTGAACTGAATGATCATCACCCAACAAGATAGTTGTACCTCCATTGTCATGCAAATCAACAAACCAGTCTCTGCGCGACGTCATGTGAAATGTGTAACCTGAATCCAACACCCACACATATTTTTCTTTTTGATCAACCATGCTCAATAACTCAGCTTGAATCAACTTTTCAGTGATAACTCCTGCCTCTCCCTGACCCTCTGCTCCATACTTCTTCTTCCTTGCATAACAGTCTTTCTTTGTGTGACCTTCTTTCTTGCAAAACCAGAAAATAACTCTTGATCTTGAGTTCAATCTACTCCTCCCTTTACCATTAGACTCCTTAGGGCCTTTAGAGGATGATCTTCCTCTTTCCCTAGTATACAAGCTTGCTCCAGAACATTTGTACTCCTCAGTTGCTTCTGTAATCTATTTTTCTCTGGATCGTACAACTGACACGACTTCCTCCAGAGTTAAGGAGTCCCTTCCATACTTCAAAGTATGTTTGAGGTGATCATAGTTTGACGACAGTGACATCAAGAACAAGATTGCTTGAATTTCATCTGAAACCTTCACATCCAAACTTCCAAGTTCAGCAACAATCTTGAGGAAGTCATCCACATTCCTGTCTACACTCAATGAATCGTCCATCTTGAACGTGTAGAACTTAAGTTGCAGATGTATCCGGTTAGGTAAAGACCTCTCCAATACAACCTGTTCAACAACGACCACATCTCTGCAGCAGTAACACAGTGATCAATATTTCTCACCACATAGTTACCAAGACTTGTTATCATCAACCCCATAGGCTTTCTCAGATTTTTCTTCTTTCTTGGGATCTGGAACCATCTTTTTCAAAGGCTCAGAAGGATTTGTTTCTTCACCTTCAGATGGTCTCTTCTCTTCGCTCCTTGTGAGAGGAACCTCCATCTCTAGCTTGTGGTCTGTGACAATGTCTTTTAGACCTAGCACAAGAAAATAAGCCATCATCCTCGTCTTCCACATACTGAAATCTCCAGTACCATAGAATCTGTCGATTTCTATCCTTGGACCTTCTACAAAATCTTTAGCCATCTTGTAACCAACAAACACCCAATTCTCCTTACGTAAAGGTCAAGTATTTATGATAAAGCTTGTGTCTTTATGACAAAGCTTGTATCTTTTTGACCAGAACACCAAAACCAAAGAAAGCTTGAACCTTTTTGA